CGCTAGAACATCTCACGTGCTCGTGCTCGACAATACTCAATTACTCATTACCTACACATTGTCCCGTCACTTTGTGACCATCTTATATATACCAGACTACCCCCAATCTAGTAATCTCCCGACAATTCACGAAGGTTCGAGAAAGAAGTGGCGTGATACTAGTCACGTGACCTCTGACACAACACTATATATATTTGTCAATAATTATACAGATAATCCATCTTAACGGTGGAGAAGCACTAACACTGATTTGGTGTAGTTTATTTTAGAGTTCATATACTAAAGAAAAGCCGTGTAGAAGTTGGTCACGTTTACAGAAACAAATCCGTTGTTGTAATCCTTTTACAAATTTCGCCACCAATTCATCTCCTAACAACAACTACTTGTATCTTTAATAATTAACATATCTGTTCTTTTTAATATCTTGTATGAAAAGTTTTAGTAAACCTATTATTTTGTTTATGACTCTCCTTTAACCTGAGCATACTTAAAGCCTTTTTTTCTTATTTTTACACTACAAAGGTAGCTAGACTTTCCTTTAACCTGAGCAAACTTAAAGCCTTTTTTTCTTATTTTTACACTACAAGGGTAGCTAGAAGGCCCCGTTCTGTGTTTGAATTGAGAAGTTAAAGTTTTATATTGATCATAAACAAGCTTAATTCAGTCCAATTTTTGTGCTGAAAACATAAACATAATTTAAATATAGTAGAGAAAAATGCATGGGAGATTACAGACATTTTCATTAGTGTTTACTAATTTATAAATAGATTATGGATAGTTGTTATTATTCACATTTCTTGATGTTCTGAAGTTTTATCAAAATCTCCTTAAAATGCTGTAAGCTGTGACACTGGTTTAGCCATATAAGCTTGTCGTTTAATATCCTTGAGTATAGACTGTAACAAAAGTAGTGTCAGCACTACTTTTGTTACAGTCTGTATTCAAGGACATTAAACGACAAGCTTATGTGGCTAAACCAGTGTCACAGTTTACAGCATGTTAAGCTGGTATTCAAGCTCTGTAGAATGATTAAATCGATTTAATCATTCTACAGAACTTGAAGTCATACTTTGAATACCAGAAGCTGCCTATTGCTTTCTTCAAAGTTTTATTAGTCTTCTGTATCTAAAAATAAAAAAATTAACCTGTTACATATCGCATGCTGCTACATTACACTATGTTGGATTGTAAGTAGTGTTTTCACATTTATTGTTTCAGGTATCTAATGCTGTCAAGAACTCACTGAGGTCTAACCCCTCTGGCCAGCCAAGTGATGGTCCCATGGGTCTTAATGTATCTCTTTCACAATCCTTGAGTTCTCACTCGGTTTCTAAAACGGCCATAACAAACGCATCTTTCCGCACAAAGAAACTACCAGGTAAAACTTGAGATAATTTTAGATAAATATGGATTGTTCTGTACATTGTTCGTTAACATTTTGAGTAAGATTGAACTTGATTTGGAAATGAATTAATAACTTTGGGCTAGTTGGTATTGTGATGTACGTCAACAATAATAGGCCTAATGTCGTATGAAAAGTATAATTAATTATGTTTTATGTACTGTTAAAAAGTCTGTTATTCACTATTGTCTACATAATTTCTGTTCATATTGAGAACAATATTCTTTTAAAGCTTGTGTTAGATAATCACCATTTAGTGAAAATGGTGTTTTAACACTATGATTATCTTCTTTTTAAAATGTTCGTCTGATTAACATACCATCACAAATTACTTTCTTTTATCAAACGAGAGTTATCGTTGTGAATCATTATCTCTTTTTTTTTTCTTTCTTTGCTAGATGATCTTAGCATCCTTCCATCTGTCCTAATCACACAGCTTGTTTCCAGTACAATCTCACCTAGTGACAACATTCAGATTACTGGCTTGTGGAGTGTTTGAGAACCGCACTTCTCACTATTCCTATAAAATTTCTGCATGCTTTTCTTCTGTTCTCTACAAGATTAGTGTGTGTGTATGAGCATGTACATTGTGTGGGGAATGAAAGCATGGACAGTAACATCTAAAACTTTTCAAGTCTTTACGCTAAGCATTATGGGTGCATGATTGTATTTGAATTGGTTATGGAATTTAAAGGCACTTTTTAATTAACTTTCTAAATTTCTGTTTGCATGCCTTCTGAGTTTACTGCTGTTCTATTTGTTTCTTTAATGGCATGCTAACTGGTGGTTGTTTTGAATAGAATTTATTCGAGTTTGCCAATCAGTTATGTAGCTTTAAGTATATACAAATATATTGTGTGATAACCCTTCTATTACTAGTACAGTAGGTGTTACATAACTAATGATGTGTTTTCCAAGAGCCTTCACCCAATATTTAAAATTAATATATCTCAAAAACTACTCAGCCTAGGGGAACATAAAATCACTAACTTTTATTAAACAACTGTTTAAATATGGTAGATGTGTTTCACAAAAGGTACTGCTAGCATCATTTGTTCTGGACAGTGTTTGTTAAATTCTACTCAGGCCATTCTTCTTGTATTGTTGAACAAATAAATGTAAAAGTAGTGCTAATTTGTAAGAACAAATATTTAGCTTTTCTTTTTAATATGGTTTTGAAAGACCATGTATCATATCCGAACTTTCCTGAATAATACAATGATTTCAAATGTACTGTTAGGGAGGTTTTATTCACCTAGACAAGTAGCTTTTAAGATATGATTAAGCCTATTAAAGTGATTAAACAATTAAGAACTTATACAACAACCCTCCCATTCTCCAGCACTTCATACATGCCTATGTAACAGACACTAACCTCCAAAATACTTAAAACTACAAAATATCATTTCAATACATATCCCATAATGCCTCAAATGAACTTTAAATATGTGATGGTCTCTATAACCACCTTCTCTATATTGCTAAGATGGAATTTTGCTCGCCACAATGGTAGGTGACAACTACTTGGTCAATATCAGCCTAAATGTACAGACTTAATCTAATTATAAGTCTATATATGTGTGTGATAATATGTTTTTTCCTGTATTGGATTCACGCTGTCATCTGATCTAGAGGATTAACTCACTAGCATTTGCTAGTAAGGTAGTTTTTAACAAATCAAGCCACCATATCCTTCCACTCCCACAAATGAGACCCATCTTCAAGGCTTATATCAGGGTTGTAGTGATCCAATTTTTTTTCATCTCCTTCTGGCAGGATTTGAACCTGGGACTACAAGCAAGTGCTAAACCAACTGAGCTATAGGGTTAACCTACTAGCTAGGTATTGGTTTAAGACACATTTTAATAACAAAAATCAACACAGAACTGTTATTCCACTGACAGCATTGTAGTATTTAGTGATTTATAAAGTAATATGTTTCCTACATGTGACAAGTGGAAAGGATTATTTTATGATATATGCTGCAAGCATGACACCAGTTGTACTCACATTAATTATTTCAGTTTTATTTTAAATGACCTTGATGTCAGAAAAACACACAAGTTCAAGAAGTCTTAATATCAAATTATAAAAAGCCCTATAACTCGAGTACTTTTGAAAAGTGGACCTTTCAAAAGTTCTATGGTTTTTATCATTTTATTTTAAATAATCATTTGTTCATTGCTGCACATTGCATGTGGTTTTTAATTACGACAAAAAACATATTTCAAAGTTGTGTTTTAGATAACATTAGGTAATGTACATATGTGTAAGCACATGTCTAAATATTTAATAAAATGGATTGGGCTGCTTAAACTTGAGATCTCATAAAAATAAAAACTTCTACAAGAGCACATGTCTAAATATTTAATAAAATGGATTGGGCTGCTTAAACTTGAGATCTCATAAAAATAAAAACTTCTACAGAAGCACATGTCTAAATATTTAATAAAATGGATTGGGCTACTTAAACTTGAGATCTCATAAAAATAAAAACTTCAACAGAAGCACATGTCTAAATATTTAATAAAATGGATTGGGCTGCTTAAACTTGAGATCTCATAAAAATAAAAACTTCTACAAGAGCACATGTCTAAATATTTAATAAAATGGATTGGGCTACTTAAACTTGAGATCTCATAAAAATAAAAACTTCTACAGGAGCACATGTCTAAATATTTAATAAAATGGATTGGGCTGCTTAAACTTGAGATCTCATAAAAATAAAAACTTCAACAGAAGCACATGTCTAAATATTTAATACAATGGATTGGGCTGTTTAAACTTTAGAACTCATAAATGTCTAAAAAAATATATACAAAAACTGTTAAAGTTGTAGCAAGGGTAACAGTTACCCATATTGCAGGGATTCAAACTTTTAGAATATATACAAAAACTTAAAGTTGTGGTAAGGATAACAGTTACCCATAAAACAGGGATTCAAACTTTTAAAATATATAAATAACTTAAAGTTGTGGTAAGGGTAATAATTACCCATATCGCTGGGATTCAAACTTTTAAAATCCACAGAAACAGTTAAAATTACTGTAAGGGTAACAATTAGCAATATTACAGGGATTTACGTCTCAAAATACAAAGACATTTTTAAAATTGCTGTAAAGGAAAAATAATTATGTGGTCAGTGTTTCTAATAACCTTCATGAAAACCACTTTTAAACATGTATTTTCTTTTATCCTATAGGTGTTGCTTGTTACTCTTATTACAGGAATTTTTTCTACACATTACCATGTTACCAAACCTGATTGTTTGAACAGTGAATGAAGTAACTATACATCACCATGTTACCAAACCTGATTGTTTGAACAGTGAATGAAGCTTCTACTTATTAACATTTTAACAAACCCAGACTGCGTGAACAATGAATAAAATTTCTAGTCATTACCATGCTAAGAACCTGTGATAGTGTCAACAGTGAATGAAGTACTATAATGTTAACGTAACGGTGAATCCATGTTAGATTTATTACACTATCAGATAACACATACGACACGGATTCAAGATATTAAAATATATACAAAAACTGTTAAAGTTGTAGCAAGGGTAACAGTTACCATATTGCAGGGATTTAAACTTTTTTACCATGTTACCAAACCCAGATTGTGTCAACAGTGAATGAAGTTTCTACACGTTACCATGTTACCAAACCCAATTGTGTCAACAGTGAATGAAGCGTGTAGAAACTTCATTCATTGTTGAAACAATTGGGTTTGGTAACATGGTAATGTATAGAAACTTCATTCACTGTTGACACAATCTGGGTTTGGTAACACAAACAATCAGGTTTGGTAACATGGTAATGTGTAGAAGCTTCATTCACTGTTCAAACAATCAGGTTTGGTAACATGGTAATGTGTAGAAACTTCATTCACTGTTCAAACAATCAGGTTTGGTAACATGGTAATGTGTAGAAGCTTCATTCACTGTTCAAACAATCAGGTTTGGTAATGTAATGATCAGTAAAAACTTTATGTAGTGTGTAGAAAACCAGTGTTTAAGAACATGGTAATTAAAATAAACATTATTAAATATTCACACTGTCAGGGTTTGGTAACATGGTAATGTGTAGAAAACCAGTGTTTAAGAACATGTCAATTAAAATAAACATTATTCAATATCCATACTGTCAGGGTTTGGTAACATAGTAAATGTATAGTTACTTCATTCACTGTTGACACAGTTGGGTTTGGTAACATGGTAATTTGTAGAAATTTCATTCACTGTTGACACAATCTGGGTTTGTTAGTAGGTACAATAAACAAATTTAATTTACTGTCGACACAATCAGATGTTAATAATATGGTAATGTATAGTTACTTCATTCTCTGTTGAAACAATCATGTTTGGAAACATGGTATTTAGTTGAAACATCATTCAATGTTGATGTAGTCTGGATTTATTAACATGATAATTAGTGGAAACTTTGTTCACTGTTGAAGAAGAAACAGTAAAAACAGAAAATTTGGTCATTAGAAGAAACTTCATTCACTGTTGACATAATATTTGATAACATGGTAGCAGATAGAAACTTAATACAGTGTTACTGGGGTTTTTAAGTCCTTTTCAATCACCAATAAAGTAACATAAAATAATTTTGGTATTTTAATAATGTTAGAGTTTGTGCCTAAAGAAATCTGTATCATATATATGTGTGTATGTGTGTGTGTAATCATTGATTTGCTGTTGACATTATCAGGTTTGATAAAGTGGTAATGAAACTAGAAACTTAACCATATGATTAGAAACATAATTCTTTATTGACACAATCTGTGTTTGATAATATTGGAAATAGTAGAATCTTCATTCACTGTTGACACAATCAGATTTAACAACATGGTAATGAGTAGAAACTTTATTCAAACATTCAGGTTTGGTAATGTAATGATCAGTAGAAACTTTATTCAAACATTCAGGTTTGGTAATGTAATGATCAGTAGAAACTTTATTC